GACTGTATGCCCAGGATGCTGGTTGTTACCTTCTATCCGTTGCCTCTTGTCAAGCACAAGAGTAAGCCAGTCACAAGCAGGGAGTTGCTTAAATAGCTGTCGTCTGGTCTTGGCATCCTGAACTGGGAAAGGGAGTATAATTTTAGCCAACTCTTGTGTAATTCCTGCCAGATAAGCATGACGCCCTCACAGTAACCTTGGAGAACCTTGGTCAAGTAAAGAATCTGATAAGGAAAACAGTGCTTGTCTGCTTGTACCTCTCCTAGTTTAAAGCCCCTCAGCTAGGCTGGGATACCTCCAGCATCTCTGACTACACATTTAGTAGGGCTTTTACTCATGCTAGAGCTGTGCAGTGAAGCTTGATGAAACAACAAATTCTCTTCACAACACCTTGCTAGAATTGTTCACGCAATCGTTTTATTCACAGCAGTAAAACTGAATCAACAAAACCATAAATGTTCCTAATTATTTGTGGCAATGAAGGCATGGACTCCAAGTTCATGCACAAGTGGAATCGGAATCCCTTTATTTAACGCTTTACATCCTTTTACACTGATCACAAAACAAAGCCACTGCTTTTCCTCTTATCACCTAGCTAGTTGGCAAGCGCTGAGTCCAAGCCTTATATGGAAGCAAAGTTCATCTTGCAAAGTCCATTGGTTGTAGCATTGACCTCGCTTTTCTCACTTAACTCTTGTTTTACTTCTCCCATGGCTTGCGGCCAACGAGACAAAGGATATCTCTGGTGTCCAGCTCAGCTGCTGCATCTGCGGATTCTGTACTCGTTCCCACAATTATTGGTTGCAGAGTAACTGAGATGTGGTCACCAGTGGCTTGTCTCAGCTAATTCTTACCCCGTCTCTTTGTTCAGAAGACCCCGGAACAACCCTGAACTTCTTGTACTTCTCTGATCTCTCTTCATTGTACAATTGGCTTTAAAGAGTATTTTAAAGCTAAAAGAGTTTGGTTTGTTCATGAACAGACCTAGGCCAACTTCAGCAAACTTTCCCAATAAAGAAATACTAATATTTTTCAAATTTGGTATCATAGTGCTCTTGGGCTTTTTTCCGATGTATTGGAGAAAATCTGATTAGGCTCAGCTTAGGCAATGCCCTGGTCAGGACTAGCAGAGACCTTCAGGGAGCAGTAACTTGTCCCACACAACATAGTCCAGGGTCAGGAATGGAGACCGACACAGGCTTGTGAAGAGTGCTGGAGGTAGTGATAGCTGATCATGATCTTGGCTAACTGTCACTTTCCATGGCCTTATACCGTTCCCGTCTGCCTGAAGTACCAATATATGAAAATACACGTCTCAAAGACCAGTCACTGGGTCTCTCTTCCATGCATTTATCTAGCAACCTCAAAAGAAAATTTGGAAATAACATAGGAAATAATACAGAAATTGCTCATAGTTCCTGTGTCCTGGTTTCGACTGGGATCGAGTTAATTTTCTTCATAGTGGGTGGCACGGGGCTGTGTTTTGGATTTGTGCTGGAAATAATGTTGGTGACACACTGATGGCTTCATTGTTGCTAAATCATGCTCAGACTAGTGAAGGACGTTTCAGCTTCCCCTGCTCTGCCCGGGGCACAGGGAGCCAGGAGGGGGCACAGCCAGGACAGCCCACCCCAACTGGCCAGAGTCCATGCCTTATGATGTCATGCCCAGTATAGAAACTGGGGGGAGATGGCCGGGGGGCAGCAATCGCTGCTTGGGGATGGGCTGGGCATTGGTCAGTGGGTCGTGAGCAATTGCGTTGTGCATCACTTACTTTGCGTATTCTTTTATCATTATTACTTTCTCTTCCTCTGCTGTTCTGTTAAACTGTCTTTATCTCAGCCCACAGGTTTGCTCACTTTTCTGATTCTGTCCCCCATCCCACCAGGGGGGGGAATGAGCGAGCAGTTGGGTGGTGCTGAGCTGCTGGCTGGGGGTAAACCACGACACCCTGAAATAAGAAAGCAACGTGTCCTCAACTTAACAAAACTCCGAATCTATGCAGCGATGCTGGTGACTGCTGGAAGCTGTTGTCAGACTTGCTATTAGGGACCAAAAAACCACGAAAAGGCAGTACACCGTCTGACATAACTCACTGAAACCTTACCCTAGATTAACCCTGGTACAAATCAGTTTCTAAATAACAACATAGGCCAGTACGTTGCCTACAGCACACACCAAAGCTATCTTAGGGTTACTTACAAAAGCGTGACTTTAAGCACGTGCCTGTGCATAATCCTCAAGTGGGAAGCACGCCATAGGGGACGTGCTCACCACCTCTCTAGTGTGGACATGGCCTGGAGCTGATCGTACGCCCCACGGCTCATGGAGCTGACCATACGCCCCATGGCTCACGGAGCTGACCGTATGCTCCAAGGCTCGTGGAGCTGACTGTACACTCCACAGCTCATGCATGCACTGCCTTTTTTTGCATTGACTTGTGGCAATGATAGAAAATTATAGGTCAGCAAACATGGTGCAACGGCTGTATTTTGAAAGGGATGTGACACGGTTTTAAGCCCTTCTGGCCTTGTGTGCCACACGCAAGCAGATCAAGAATGGCTTTGCGTGAGCACAGCTGGAAGAATACGAGGTAAGTGGCTGAATGACCAACACCCTCCACACGTGTAGGCATATGACTGAGGTTGGTTTGCTCACACATAGGTAATAAAAAGGGAGCATCGGTGTGCTATGAATTCACCAGGGTGGTGAAGGCTTGTGCTGCGCTGTGAAGCCTAAGGGTGAGAGATTTAGTTGATCCGGACCCTGACACTGTGGGCTGATGTCCCAGCCTGACCTTGGACCTGCGCCATCACCATGGACCTTCCCAATGACTTGAGTCTTGCAAGGACTCCAGTCCCAGCAAGATAAATACAGCTTGCCATGCAACTCAATCCATTTATCGATCAAGACAATCCCAGATGACAGAACATCACAATATTTATGCTACAAGCACCTTAATTATTTACTGTTCTCTTTGCTTCCAAAATGCACCACTTCAGCCATTGTGGAGCATCTAGCAGGAGGTGGGAGCCAAGTACCAGTGCCACAGGGAGCAGAGCACTTCCAGAACCTGATGCTGAGAGAACTTCACCAAAATGTTCTGTCACGGGAGACTGCCAATGAATGAAGATAATGCAATACAAACACTGCATCAGATAATTACAGAAGTAATTATACAGAAACATTATAACCTGAACAGAAAGAGACGAGACTAAAGCCTGCAATTCTTACAATTTTTCAGAAGTAAAAAGTTAGTACTTTTTAACCAAACATGAATACATTCTTGCAAACTTTTGAGAAGTCTGTTGGGGAAATGTCTTGCCAAGCTTTGGGTGGTTCTTTGCAGAGACAAAAGAGCCTTCTTGCATTGGCACTGACATCCACAGTATGAAGAGTGCAGCCCTGTAAGACTGCTGCTCCAGGGAATGCTGTGGTAAACAAGTAATTGCACAGAAAAAGATGTCATTACAAATACACCAAGTGAGGGAGCTAATCGCTGTTGCCCCACACGGATCATACCTAGCCCATAGCCTAATTCTTACACCCTGAGATTACCTCACCCCGTCCTGTGTTCCTCCATGGTCAGTTCTAGTTGTAAGGATGGAAAGCGAAACGCCTTTGCAGCGGGTGCCCTTCGATGCTAACTCAGAGCCCACCGCAGTGTTCCTGCAAGGATGTGCGCCAGCAGCCCCGTCCCACCGCCTCCGGACACTCAGTGTGCTGCCGAGACCCACAGTTTGCCTCCGGAGAGCAGCCGAGCTGGGCTCAGCGCCCCTCCTCACCCTCCTACCTGCCCTCTGCGAGTCACCTCTTCCTCAAAGGGTGGGGAATACTGGCTGCATCATGGGCGGTGGGCATCTGCCAGCATTGCAAGCCACCAAAAGCCATCCCTGAGCAGGGAGAGGGTTGGACGAGCCGCTCGCCCTCGCCTGCGCGGGGCTGAAACCCCCCGTACTCCTGTGGAGGTGTAAGGCAGGACAACCACACGGAGCCCAGTGGACCCTATCTTACTTTATTTTTACAATTATTATTACTGCTATTACATTATTATTAGTAGTAGTAGGCACATTTTAAGAATATAGTTTCACCAACAGGGAAATTCACAATTCCTCCCCCATCAATGTATTATTAAGAAGTGTAATCCAGAAGCTGAAAACAGAGTTAAAAGCGTTACTGGCTTCCACCAGACTCTTCCCTCTCTCTCATAAGGAAAACAAAACCATTTCCTGAGAGTCAGCGAAAGGTGACCTTTTTAGCTGGGTTTGAGCTTGGGAATATTGCTTAAAATGGTGCAAAATGATGTTTCCTGGTAGAACTTACTGAAACCCCTTTTGTGTATGAGTAAGGCTGGTGTTATCCAAACTGACATGAATTTGAGAAAGATGCTCCCTACGTTAGCAAAATGGACAGTTCTCATGGAAAAAACCACAAGCTCTTTTCATTGTCACCAGGCAGCAAGTTTCTAGCTCCTTCCAGCTGTAAAGCAATGAACATCAGGATGTTGGGATCCTTGGCGTGGAAGGGTCACTGGAAGGTGGATAAAGCTACACCAGCAGGATTCATCACTCGACCCACCAGGTGGTCCCACCTGAGCACACCTACTCTCATGAAACACCATCACCCAGGAGGGAGCTCATCTGCTGCCCAGGTGTTTATAGCTGGGAACCCAAGCGTAGGGAGGCCAGAGCCCGCAATGGCAACTAGGAGCCAAATTCCACTGAAACTGCACACGGGCAAGGCACCTGGGAGACTTAGGGTTCAAGGGCCATGCCCAACTTCTGCAGGGACCTCAGCCCATTTAACCTAAATCCTATGTGCTTTCCCGATCATTGCCTTGGCTTGTTTTCCTCCCTTGCTAGAGTAATATTGATCCCAGCCAAGTACAGTAGTTTAGTGAGCCTTTCCCCCTTCCTTTTTTGTTCAACCCCCCACACCTCCTGCCAGTAAAAGAAGCCCCAGAAGTCAAACGAGAAACCACCAATTACTCCAGACAGATTCTAGGCGCTTTTCTGCATCAGTTCAAGAATTTTCTTGTACACTTGTTCATACACTTGCGTACTCCAAAGGAAATCAAAGTGGGTGAACTCGGGAATGTACTTTTTGTATGCCACATTGGTTATGCGAGTCAGTGTGATGTTTACGTCTTCGGGGTCTGAAATCCAGTCACTGCCACCATACCACACAGCAAGCGGGGCCTTCATATTTTCCAGTTCATAAAAGGGAGGTGTGGTCTGGAAGACAAGCAGTGTGACTTGAGGAAGGAAAGCCTGGGAGGTCACAGGCAAGTCAAGAATTCAAAGTATTCCTGATTGCTGCTTGGAATTTCTCCCCTATCCCAAAGTGGTACAGAAACTATCGCCAGAGATCCTGACTATGCCTTGGGCTCCTGTCCTTTTCACCAGAGGATCAAAAAGTCATCACTGAACGACATCACAGACCTCTTTTTTGCAAGAAAGATGCAAACCTGTTTGACCATATAAGGTAAATTCCATAAATCCCATAAAATTCAGTCCCTGCAATATTTTCATTGTAATTTTAATTTTTTTTTTTTTTTTAAACTGACAAATGAGGATGGATTTCTCTTACCTGATTGTAATGAAGTATGTTGTCACTGCCATAATCATACCATTGGAATTCCCCTGTTTGATAGAGCTGGGAAAGGGGGAGAGCTGTGTTTATTATCCACGCATTAGAGGGGACCATAAGAAAGATGCACTGCTCCCTCCTGCCACCAAGGGTCAAGGATGCTATTTGCTACGTGTGATACCGTCTTTTGGGAGGAGACCTCAACCCCAGGAAGATCTCAGCACAGCCGGCAAGATCGCCTGGTGTTGCTCACATCTTTCATCCCTCCTCTCTCGGGTGGCTGGCAAGCTGCAGATGTCTGGAAGCTGAGGCCCCAGAAACCCACAGTGCACCTAGCATACAGTCAAGAGCTAGCCTCAAAGAAGCCACGAGTCAGACCTTGGGGCAAGTTTCCTGTGTCTGTCATGGTCAACGGCTACAACAGAAGGATATGGTTTTGTGTATGTTTTCGATGATTAGTTGTTGTATGATTAGTTAGCGTTGCTGACCCTCAGCTCTTGGCCTTTACTCGAGCATCTCCTGTGCTGGTTTATTACCAGTTTTTGCTTCCGTCTCCATCTCTTATCAGATCCAAAGACTCTTGGTCATCTTTTGTTGAAAGTCATGGCCAAAAGAACTGCATATCTGCACCAGTGTTTCATGTCGATTTCCCCTTTCCTCTCTAATATAGCTCTGCAGGGAGGGCAATGGAGGATGATACCCAAGCATTGAGGAGAGGTCCTTGGCAGCTCAGAGAACATGGGCCCTGGTTGCATGCAATCTTATTCTGCAGCAGGAAATATTACCTGGCGCCAATGTAACAGGTTCTTTAGGGATGTTGAATCAGGGTAGCGGGACAGGTAGACATCTATGCGGCCCTGCAAGAAACCATTGGAGACACTTATTCTCTGCATGGAGGGAAATCCCATTAGAAATAAAACTGTTCAGCAGCCACACAAGTCTGTCACTCACACAGGCTAGCTAGAGCTTGCCTCTGTACAAACTGCTTCACCTCAGCTCTGTGAAGGCACATGCCGTGAGAACACACACGGCAGATACCAGCATGAAGGGCACTGTAGAGCTCCCTTCAGCAAGCAGAGCAATTCCCATGGGATGCTGGGTCACATTACGAGTCTATGTGGTTTTCAAACCAGAGTAAAACTCCCCATCTTCTGCTCAGGATCCTTTTGCAAAGACAACGTGCAACTCATCACAGTGGCTCTACATGTTGTTTCTAATGTGTTTTCTCCTTGGAATGTTATGAAATTACACCAACGCTTCCCTCGAGAAACAGTGGCCCAGCTCTGACTCCATCCATGACCAAGCTATTAGTGCTCAGTACTCTACGTGGACCTGTCCCCTCTCCGCATGAGCAGTTTGTGACAGTATCTGGACATTGACATCTTGGCTGGCCCCAAGGAAATGGCCCTTCCTGGGCTGGACATGGCCCCAGGCAACCCACGGTAGCTGTAGTGTTGGCCCTGGTGGGAGTGGGGTCAGGCTGGAGGCTCCACCCCACCCTGGTGCCTCCAGCCCGAATTTTTCTACGACTCTGTGATCAGCGCAGTGGAGCACAAGGAAAGGCTCTGATTTGGGGATAAATATGTTCTAAGGGATGGTAGACGGAAGAGCCTGAGGCCCCACCTCTCCTTAGCAGTGGACTGAAGGGGAGTTCATGCTGTGAGAGCCTGTTTTGTTATTAAAATACATGTGAAACTACAAATCACTTGATGAAAGAGAAACCCTGGGAGTCCCGGAGCGCCAAATTAATTTCTGCACTCTCCCCTTCGGCATCATTCCCACTGGGGACACAACATCCCTGGTAGACGCATGACCTTGTGTGCACTCTGCGCTTCCCTCTGGTGCCAACACAAGAGCATGGCAATGGCCAACAGAATGGCCAGACTGCAGAACGCTGACACAATGTACAGATTTTTTGAGGAACCAAAGATGCGAAAGGCCAGGTGAAGGCAGCTAGTTGATAACTTGGGCTCAAACAGCGAGGAACCGTACCACTTAAAAAGTAATCTGGAGTGTACATACCACATTGAAGCTGTTGCTGGGCCCACCAGGCAAATAAAAGACCAAGGAGCAAAAGCTTTTAAAGATGGGGTAGCTGCACAGACTGGAAATCGCTTGGTGCAAGGTCTTGCCCTTATTGAAGGCCATTATGAATCCTAAAATGAACTGTGAAAGTCAAAGGCGTTGATCAGTGTGGTTCATGTTCCTCTTTTGCCTCCAGACACTCCCCATCCCTCTGCTCACCCCTTCAGGTTTGCTGTCTTCCTTGCCACAGCTTTGCTGTGCTTTGTTATCTTGGCTTTTCAGAAATGACCATGGCCCTGGCAGAGCCCTGATCTTCCTGGAAGAGGTTTCTCCTAGCAGCATGGACCCAAACACAATGTCTAGAAATAGCCCTTCCCTGATTAGGACTGGACAGGAGGACGCTTTACGCTGCTTAATGCCCTGCAGGCTCACGAGTGTAAGCACAAATGTACCCACTCAGTGCAAGGGCACGCAGAGGCCAGGGAAACTGAAGTGATGTACAAGCACTGCACGTCTCAGGCGGTGGGACCTTCCCGTTCCCTCCTTCCCCTTCACACCGGGCGAGCGTGTGGCGAGGACGTACCTTAGCCAGCCCCTCGGGAAGGTCAAGCACCCTTGCCAATGGTGTCTTCATATTTGAGCTATTGGTGGCAGGACCCAAGGCAAAAAACATCTTGATTTTGCGATCCAGCTCAGGAATGGACGAAAATGCAATGAAACCTGTGGGAGGGAGAAGGAAGCAGACCCTGCCCTCTTATTTCTGAAGGAAATTGGAAGGACCCTCAGAGGTGGCTCTAGCAGGTTTGTGACTTGACCTGAAGCCTTTGTTGCTGATGTATTTCGGCTCCCAGCTTGCCTGCTCAGCCCAGCTGCAGCTCCTGCAAGCCCTTCTTGGGGCTCTGGCAGCAGTGGGATGCACCAAAAGCCACCGCTGCAACCATATTTTGGCCGTCTCTGCTCAAAACTGTTCTGTTAAAGCAAACAGGGATTTTTACCTGCTCTTTTCCCTTCATTGTTTAGATGTGCTGGGACGTTACCCTACCTGCCCAGGCTCTTAGGAGAACAGTCCCAAAGGGTGCGCAGCTAACATAGGTCTGACTGGTCTGGTCTCCTCCTAAGTACCTGTGGTGGTGCCTTGAGAGTAACCCACGTAGTATAACTGCTCCTGTCCAGTTTTCTGCAGAATATAGTTGACCGTTGCTGGAAGGTCGTACATGGCCATCTCATGAAAGCTGCAATGGAGATGGGCACATGACAAAATTACTGCTGCTGACCTTGAGAGTGACAGGCAGGACACAGCAAGTAGTGCCGTGATTATTCAGGGAGCAAGCGAGGGCTCTGGCAGGCATGGGCACCCCCTATGACTTCTTGGGCACCCCTATGGCTTCTTGGCGGTGCCGGTTTATGCCCACTGCCAGATGGTGTGAGTGTCGGTGGCACTGCTCCTCCAGCCTACGGACACTGCGGAGGGTACCAGATACCTGCCCACCCCTCGGTTTCGCAGAAAATACCTGTAAGCTGAGTATTCCTGGTGGTGAAAATCAAACTTCTTGTGCTTTCGTGACCAGCTGTTCCCCCAGCTGTTTCCGATCCAGACATCATAGCCAGCGTCGGCGAGAATGAAGCCCAGGCTGCTGTTGGGTAAGTTGATAACCCAGCTGCTTCCCTCCAACATCAGGCCATGCTGCAGGAGGACCACGGGCTTTGGAGCTGAAGGAAGAAGAGGAGGAGTGTTTTCTCTGACCACTAGCAAAATTGATTGTTCACATCCAGGTACTGCTTTGGGAGCAACCTCCTGGGAAAGTGACTCCAATGCACGGAGATGGTCACCTATGTCCTCAGCCTCTGTGGAGAGGTGGTTTTGAAGTAGGCTCTTTGGTCATCCCAGGGCAGAGAAATTCAATATAGTGAATCTGAAAAATGAGGTCGGACTCCACACTGAATGGAGCTCAGTAAATCATGCTCCCAGGAAGAACAAAACCAAGCCCCATGTCTGCCTGGACCCTGACTGTGCCCTTTGCATGGATACCACCCTCCTCACAGTACCTTTTGTTTGGCTCAGGTACTCTGGGCTGACCAAGAGATGTGGAAAATGCATCGGAGTCTAAGTACCTCCCATGGTACGGTGACACCATGATGCCCCCATTGCAAGAGACACGGGTACTGTAGAGGTCAAGAGCATCTCCTCCACCCACTTCTGCCCACTTTAAGCCATATGGGCAAGTCTCAGCTCCCCAGAACAAACTTAAGATCTTTTTTACAAAGGATCAGAAAGCCTGAAATGCTGTAGGAAGAGAATGGAGGAGAGATTATGGAAAGGTTTAGTTGGGAAAGAACCTCTGGAGGTCTCTGCTCCAATTCCCTGCTCAAAGCAGGTCTGACTGCACAGCCGTAACAGGGTCATTGCAAGGAGATCTGAGTTCATACAGTAGGGCGACCACACAACCAGACTGCAGCCTGGAAAAGTTGAAATGAAAGTGACTTTCCTTTCCTTTCCTTTCTTTTTTTCCCTTTGTCTCCTCTTTTTTCTGTGGGTTTTTAGACCCTCAATATAAGACTTACATTTCCACCCTGGGCAGCTGAGGACAAAGTGATTTCCTGAATGGTAATCTGGCTTTTCATGCCTATTTGACATGTTCGTACACCAGTTCTCCTGCTTCCCAGGAGGGGGACACCCCACCAAGAGTGGGGCATCACCCCCTCTGCTTGAACAGCAGTTCAAGTGAAGATCAGAAAGGAGCCAAAATGGTGAGATGGCATTGGATTGGACATGTGGTTTTTTTTTTTTTTCTGACAAATGGCTTTTTGCTGCTCCACTGACTGGCTTTGAGCTGGGGCAAAACCTGGGGCCAGGTTTCTCTGTCCCATTCATTCTCCTCATCCTTTCCTTCCTCTTTGGAGCAGATCCTCTCAGAACAAGAAGACTAGCGTTGTAGGCACCTGCATTTCTTCTGCTCCCGAGGCTAATCCTACAGGGAAAGTTGTCTCCTTGAGGACCCAGCCCGTGACGAGGCAAGCCCTGACCATGGCATACTCCATCCCAGCAAAGCTCTCAGGGTCTCTGGACAGGCAGGCAGACCTCATAGCACTTACGGGGACAGGTCATGCTGGAGCCCTGTGCCTCTGCTTCATGGGAGGTGGCCGTGCTTCCTGGGTCGTCTCTGCTGTGAGGAATCCTCTGCATGGTGAGGTAATAGCCGTCGTCTGTCACCACTTCATGCTCCTCATAGGGATACCCGTAGTAGTGGACAATTCCACCCTGTGGGAAGCGAAGGACAGCGTGGGATGGGTCCCCAGGGAGGTGGGGGTCTCCGTCCCAGAGGGTGTCAGGGAGACTGGCTGGGCAAAGCCAACAGTGGCCACCCTGAGTTGGTGGTGGTGACTCCTGCTGTCAGCGGGACGGTGGAGTAGGGACCTCCCAGCATCCCTTCTACCAACGCTGCGGTGGTGTCATGACTTCAGCTAAAATTTTTGGCAGGACTGAGTCTCCCTCACTCCCTGAGCAGGTCTGGTAAAGAAAGACCCATTGTTGCTTTTCATGTTGTAATCAACTTTTGTGAAGAGCAGGGCAGCAAGGACAGCAAAGCTCCAAGCCTGAGACGGCTGCGGTGACCCAACCTGTTGACTTGGCCTGAACTCCTCCATAAATGTCTGCCATAAATCTCCATGTATGTAAGCACAGGGAGACAAAAGCTCTAATAAAACCCTGATACCAAACCCTGGTGAAGATCTACACACAGAGACCATAGGTCCTGCCCAGACTGTGGCAGCATAGGTAGCTTGCGTGCCCAAGTAAAAAAAGAAGGGAGAGAATTCAGGACTTACAATATTCAGGGACAGCTCGGGGCTCGCATCTGAGTTCTTGCCGACGCACATTAAACAAGCAATGCTTACGAACAGCCACATTATGGTGCTCTGCAAAACACTGTCAAAATGATGTTTTTGCAAATCCGAGTGAAATTCTGTCCCAGAACACCTGCTGTTCTTCCTGGGAAGGGCTTTGAAGTGTCTGTTTTGGCATGCTCCCACCACAAACCCTCTTACTATCACTTTATTTGTTGGAGACAATAGATTTGCAACAGAAATACTGCCTCAGTTCTTGTGGCCCCAGCAGACCCTGGTCTCATTACTTTTAAGACTGAGCCTTCAGAAAAGCGAGGAGAGACAGAAAGCATTTTTGTGGAGAATAGCATGCACATCCAAGGGAAGAGCTTTGCCCTTTCCTCCCAGCAGCCAGCCTGCAAACATATTCCCTTCATGAAGGGTCCCTCGGCTCAGCACACCCTGAGAGCTCCTGGTGACCTCTGAGAGGTGCAGCAGGGTGAAACCGCTTCCACCAGCAGCAGGTCCTGACCCCCAACAGCTCCCACTGCCCCTCCCACGAGAAGGAATGACTTTCCTTTGGAGCCAGGACTCCCAGGGAAGTCCCGCCATCCCACCTGAGGGGCTCTTCAACTACCTACAGCTCTCTGCTGCTGTCCCCAGGGATGGCCCCTTGCTGGCAGCCTGTGCAAAGGCAGAGGCACCCAAGGAGGAAGGATTACCCGTCGCGGTTCGGGCGCTGCAGCACAAGAGGCGTGGGTGCCTTTCTTCCTGATGCTGGCCAAGCAGGAGGTCCCTGCCACCCGAGCATGCTGCTCTCGTCCACCATGCAGCGGGTTATTATTCCCTCTGCTCCACGCATTCGGGAGCGTCACGGATCGCCACTCCCTCTAATCCTTCCTCCTGTGAACATGTAACTTACCTGAGGGCTGGAGTCTGGTCTGAAAGAAGACACCCTTCCTATCTGGGCTCGCCTGGGAATATTCTCGCGGCACTACAGAAGAGTTGAGAGCTGTAAGAAATTGGTTATTTCCACTTGATGTGGCACAGCGTCATCTGACATCACCCGTGACCTCTGTGGGCTGGAGGATGTGCAACCTCTGGACCACTCTACACCTGTACTGGGGCTGGCGCTGGTGCACGGGGCTGGTGTTGGTGCACGGGGTGCAGCGGGGTGCGTGGGGCTGGCGCTGGTGCACGGGGTGCAGCGGGGTGCGTGGGGCTGGCAGTGTTGCATGCGTGGTTGGTGCTCAGGGTGCTGCAGGGTGCATGAGGGCCAGCCTAGCTCATCCCAGCAAGCTCCTGTGGAAAACCCATCCAGCTCTTGTTGGCTCTTCTCACTGCCTCCTGGTGTGTAACGAGCCACTGCCTGGAAATGCAAAACCTCCCAGTCCCCATAATGACTGCTGGGGGGTGCTATTTAAAAAATGCAAAAGAAAACCATCCCCGGGGAGGGAAGAAGCTGGGGATGAAGCTACCTTTCACTCTCATCAGCCACGGGGTGCAGTTTTGGTGGGAGGATGTGTCTTTTCTTAGGGAGCACAAAGGATGCCCATCTAGACCACAGCGAGAGGTGACTTTCTCTGCTGGGTGTCTATGCCCACCAAATTTTCAGTCATCTCCACCTGGTCAATTCTCTCTGTCTGTGCTTATCACAGCCCTCATTAGGCATTTTCTGCCCGTCCCGCGCTTCTCCCCCCACAGACTTCACCCCTTCCTAGCTGGCAATGCCTTTAGCCAGCCGCTGCCCATGGCTGAGGAGCTCCCTGCAGGGATGGGGAGGGGTAGTGCAGGCCGTGGGTCTCATTTTTGGCAGCGCTGCCTTCGAGGCTGCCTCTCCGCTCCTTGCCCACGTGCCCGGGCACTGGCCCACTGCAGTGACCCAAGGCTGGCTTTGCAAGCTGCGGGCTCCTGCCACCTCTCCTGGTGTCGGCACCTGCCAGGCCTGGCCCAGCTGCGCTTGCTGAAATGCAAACACACATTTTGGTAAGCCTAGATAATTCCACCTCAGGCTGAGGCCATAATGACTGGTCTTTACTAAAGACTAGCTGGAGGCAGTGCCAGAAGCCCTCCCCATCTGGGTCACCCTCGCATGGATGGTGACTCAGGCCAGAGTCTGATCTTTCCCCTGCAGGGAGAGGAGGAAAGGCGGAAAAACAGGATCAGGCATGACAGGACAAGAAATCACTCCCCCTTCCTCCCAGCATATATTAATGCCGACATAGCTTGCCTTCCTTTCGGGGACAGGACAGGAGAGAGGATACTGGGGGAGCCATGGCCACTCCTGGTCCTTGCATCAAGTCCGGGGCCGCGTTACTTGAGTCTGACCTGTTTGAGCAGGGGGGTGGGACTGGATGATCTCCCGAGGTCCCTTCCAACCCCTGCCGGTCTGGGATTCTGTGGTGGAGAGAGAGCAGAGCAGAGCTGAGCCTTCAGCAAGGCGTTCCCAGAGATTTCCAGCATGCAGACCATGATGTGGCTCTTGCTGTGGGATGAAGACTCTCCAGCAAGGATCCAGCACATCTATGGAGGCTTTGTGCACCACTGGGATGCAGATGTGCCCCCCGGCCTTCCCCTCACCCCGCTCTGCGCCAGCCCCAGCTGGTATCGCTGCTGCCGATGCTGCAGCCCCGGGGATGCTCCCCACCTCCCCTGCAGCACTGATAAAATCGGTGGCCTCAACTCAGGGTGAGTTACGACACGGACTGACAAGGCATGGGCGAGCCAGGAAAACCGGCAACAAGCGGGTCTCAAAGCATCAGCAGTTTCTTGCTGGCAGGCTTACCTGCCGCCTGCTGCCTGGAGCCCGGGCGCGCTGCAGCCTGCGGCCGAGGGGACACGCGGGCTGCGCTGGCAGCCCCAGCCAGCCAGAGGGTCGCAGAAGGGGTTTATGTCGGGCGGCTACAAGCTCGGCCCCACATCTGGCCCTGAACGGGGAAGGACTGCAGCGTGCAGCGAACTCTGAAACTGCAAGGGGCCAGCTGCATCAGCTGAATGTTCACAAGTCCATGGGGCTGGATGGGATTCATCCCAGAGTATGGAAGGAGCGAGTGGGTTATGGCAGGACCCCTTCCGATCATCTCTCAAAGGTCTTGGGGAGTCTAGGGAGGTCCCCGCTGACTGGAAGCTAGCCAACGTTATTCCAGTCTACAAAAAGGGCGTGAGGGAAGACCCAGAGATCTACAGACCTCTTAGTCTAGCCTCAGTTCCTGGAAAAATTATGGAGAAGATTATACTGGATGCTATTGAAAGAGATTTAAAGAATAACGCAATTATCAGGCATAGCCAACATGGGCTCACAAAGGGAAAGCCCTGTGTAACTAATTTGATATCCTTCTATGATCAGGTCACTCGTCTCATGGATGAAGGGAAGGCAGAGGACGTGTTTTTTCTGGGTTTTAGTAGGGCTTTTGATACTGTCCCTTGCAGCATCATTCAGGGGAAATGGTTATCGACCTGCTACACCACTTGGACACACACAAGTCCATGGGGATGGACGGGATCCACCCAAGGGTACTGAGGAAGCTGGTGAAAGCGCTCACCACACCCTTGCCAGCAGTCCTGCCTATCTGGGGAGGTCCCAGTTGACTGCAGGTTGGCAAATGTGACACCCATCTACAAGAAGAGCCGGAAGGAGGATCCGGGGAATTACAGCCCTGTCAGCCTGACCTCAGGTCCAGGGAAGGTCATGGAGCAGATCATCTTGAGTGCCATCATGCGGCACATTCAGGACAACCAGGGGATCAGGCCTGGTCACCATGGGTTCATGAAGGGCAGGTCCTGCTTGACCAACCTGATCTCCCTCTGTGACTAGGTCACCCATTTAGGGGATGAGGGAAAGGCGGTGGATGTGGTGTACCTGGACTTTGGTAAAGCCTTTTACGCTGTCTCCCACAGCATTCTCCTGGAGAAGCTGGCTGCCCATGGCTTAGACAGGCAGACTCTGTGCTGGGTAGAAAACCATCTGGATGGCTGGGCACAAAGAGTTGTGGTGAATGGAGTTAAATCCAGTTGGCAGCCAGTCACAAGGGTGCCCCCAGGGCTCAGTGTTGGGGCCAGCTCTGTTTAACATCTTTATCAATGATCTGGACGAGGGGATTGAGTGCACCTGCAGTCAATTTGCAGATGACACCAAATTGGGCAGGGGTGTGGATCTGCTGGGGGGAGGAGGGCTCTGTAGAGGGATCTGGCCAGGCTAGAGCCATGGGCCCAGCCCAGTTGGGTGAGGATCAACAAGGCCAAGGGCCGGGTCTTGCAGCGCTCCAGGCGTGGGGCAGAGGGGCTGGAAAGCTCTCTGGCTGAAAGGGACCTGGGGGGGTTGGTCGAAAGGCAGCTGAATATGAGCCAGCAGGGTGCCCAGGTGGACAAGAAGGCAACCAGCAGC